TTTGCTTAAGCCTGTGTCTGAATCTCACACATTATTTTTCAGTGCCATCATACCTTTGGCTATCTTCTCAGCACATTTGCAAGTACACAGTAGTACATTATACTTTGGAACTTGCTTAGTAATTAATTTTCACGCAATGTCAGCTTGAAAAAGTAGTAAAGAGCAGGTTCCACTCTATAAAATGCTCAGCAGCAAGGTTTGTTGCTGTTTTTCTACCATATAGCTGATTAATCCTAGGTTGGCAGCTGTTTGTTTCTCCTCAAGGCCAAATTTTGGTTTCAGATTCCAGTTGATGGCTTGTTTTAAAATTGCTTCTGATTGAACATAAAATGTTCAGGCACGGCTCACCAGGATTTTCCTGTAGGGGTTTGGAAAAACTGTTCTACATGCTTGTGTTAAGAGTTCTCATTTCTTTATAGTGAGATGAGTTTAACTTTCTCTAGAAATGTATTTTCTGTGCATTTTTCTAGAAAGTGTCCTCAAGGATGCTATTTGTACTACCTTATTTACATTTCTCACAAGGATTCTGCATCATAGATTCTAGAACATATTTTAGTCTTGGTACTTCTACACAATTAAAAGGAGTTAAAATGCAGCATTTCTTAATAGACAGTCACTATTATTATCAGTGCTAGATGTGACTTAGGGAAGTGCAAGAAAACCTTTGCCAAAGGCTAGAACTATATGAAAAGCCTATTTCTACTTGTCTTTTGGTGGGAAAATATAAACTGCATTTCATATGTTTGAATGTTACATCTATCTTACCTTTGAAACAAAATGTATTCAAATATGTGATCATCACAGAATGATTATAGATCACACCTTGTTTTATCTTGAGGAGTGATAGAAAGTGGATTGAAAAGTGTTTATGTTCAGTTTTTTTTTCAGTTTAGGAGACTATGCTAATTACTTAACTGACTCCTTTGACTACGTTCTATGTGAATGTAACATGAATGGGCTAAATCTGATAATCAAGTATTCAGTGTGTGGCTAACATACAGGTTCTCAAATCAGACTAACTGGTTCATAGTATCAAGACTGAAATATTCTCATATATGGCATAAAATAGAATTGCAGTCATATCTTAAAAAAACCTTTCAGTTTTGCATGTTAGATTTGGGGAAGTGATGGGAATATTTTAGTTTGTAGACACTTTTAAATTACATGACATGTAAATAACAAAATCCAGAGTCTCCATATTCCTAAACCTGCTTTACAGAGTCTTCCAACTTCCCAGCAGATTTTGAGCACAGGGGAAAAAATCTCCCCCTGCTTTCACTGAAGCATACAGTTCATTCAGCATCAGGGATTGTGGACTGAGCCATTAACAAGTACAGTGGTGCCTCGCTTTACGATTGGCCCGCATTACGACAAATCTGCTTTACGACCTTTTTGTGATCGCAAAACGATGGTCTAAATGGGGGAATTTTGCTATGCGATGATCGGTTCCCTGCTTCAGGAACCGATTCTTTGCAAAACGATGTTTTTTCAACAGCTGATCGGCGGTTTCAAAATGGCCACGGGGTAAATAAAATGGCTCCCCGCTGTGTTTAGGGCCGGATTCCTCGCTATACAGGCAGCGAAAATGGCTGCCGTATGGCGGATCTTCGCTGGACGGTGAGTTTTAAGCCCATTGGAACGCAGTATACAAAAGACAATGAAAAAAACCTATTAATTTTAAGCAAGAATTCATTACTAGTATTTTGTCATTCTGGCTCAGGTAGATCTTTGTCCCTAAGAATTATGCAAATTGTCCAAAATATCTGGAGGGCATCCTGCTCTACAGGTCATTAGGGGTGTTCTTTCATGTTTTTGGATGTTCATTCAGTTCTTCCAAGAATTCTGTGTATTGCAGCCCAAAAACTCAAGTTAGCATACCTGTAGGGTTCATGCTCTTTCCCCAAATAACTTTCAAGTGATTTTTTTACGAGCAGCACTGGCTCTTCTGGCCTTCCTGTTGTTAAGAAAAGGAGCTGCAGCAGCATTTCCTATGAATTAGTTCTTTGAGACACCCCCTATAAGCCTAATAATAGCCATGTGCCATCAAGTCAATTCTGATTAATGGCAACCCTTTTCAGGATCTTCCAGATGGAGAAGTGGTTTACCATTCTCTTCTAGGTGATGACCTGGGCCTGTGCAGCTTGCCCAAGGCCACACAGGTTGGCTCTAATAAACTCCCAACCTCTGGCTCTGTAGATACTTAAAACCACTGAGCTATCCAGCCAGCTATATGTCTAACAGGAAGTGAGATTACAACTCCAAGGAAGCACCATGGCAGGTTTTTTTTGAACACACAAATCTGCAGTAGGGAGAGGGAGTCCAGAGCCAACAGTGCAGGCAAGATCACTGATAGCCCTTAGTGCCTGGGGAGTTCACACAGTTGTGATGATTTGGGTTTCTAGACCATAATTCATGGCTAACTCTGGAGCCAAAAATACAAAGGAGCATGCCCCTACCGGCTTTCAGGTTAGTACTCTCCTATGTTCTGCACATTCAGCAACACACATAAAATTCACCTTATAATAAATAGCATCTAAAAAGATCCCTGCAAGCAGTGAACTTTTTGTAGCCTGTTAATTGGCTACTGGATTTTTTCCATTACATGTACAATTAGAAGCAAACCTTAAATTTGTTATCCTGAAGACTACCTGAAAGTGGGTAAAACAAGACTGTAAAAAAAAAAAAAGGCAAGGTTGGAAGAATTTCAGTGCCTTTGCATTAAACAGAAAGGAAGTTCCATCTTCTGTATAGTTTTCCCACCATGCAAAGGTTCCATGTGTCTTAGGGCATTTTATTCCTAGGGGTTGCTGAGTAAGGATTTATTAGCAGAAATGGGGCCACACAAGATCCATGCTGAAGATCTAAGCAAATAGCTTTAAGATTGTCTAGAAATAACTTCCCAATTCAACTTCATTAGTTGTTGTGGGCTTTTCGAGCTCTTTGGCCATGTTCTAAAGGTTGTTCTTCCTAACGTTTCACCAGCCTGTGGCCGGGATCTTCAGAGGACAACACTTGAGTGCTGTCCTCTGAAGATGCCGGCCACAGAGCCTGGTGAAACATTAGGAAGAACAATCTTCAGAACATGGCCAAAGAGCTTGAAAAACCCACAACAACCATTAGCTCCCAGCCGTGAAAGCTGTCGCGAATACATTCAACTTCATTAGTTAGCCTCCACATGTACAGTAGAACCCCTACTTACGAACATCCTTAGGTACGAACATTTCAAGATACAAACAGCTCCGGCTGCAAAATTTTGCCTCTACTTGTGGCCGGAGCTTCAAGGTATGAACAGGAAAAGGGCGGGAAATTTAAATTTGCTAACTGTTGGTGGCAAAGAGACTGCTTCTTTGTAGCTCTTCACCCCAATGGTTAGGAAAAGGGAGGCTCAGCCTACCGGGCTTCCAGCGCTGTCGCAATCTGCGGGTCTACTCACAAGTGACATCAAAGTGCAGGTCTACTCACAAGTGCCAAGGAAGAGCAGGTCTTCTCATGAGTAAGCACTGCCAAAGACCCTGGGTGGAGCTTGTGGATGGCGTGTGGCAATGCCAGAGGAAGGAGAAGCAGCCGGGGGAGGGGGGGGGAATGGTACTTTGGAAGCTCAGGAAGCTGGCACCGGTGCGGCAGCTTTGGAAGCCTAGAAAGCCTTCACAGAGGCTTCGGACTGGTACAGTACTGTTTTTCCTTTTAAAAAAGTTCTTCTGGGTGGGTTTTGGAGGGTAGGTATCTGGTGGGTTTTTTTATTATTATTATTATTTTTTTGCAGTCCCAGTGTGGGACTTGTTCTGCTTTTGGCAGCAACGGATTACAGTGGTGCCTCGCTTAGCAATGACAGTTTAGGTCCCCGTTTCGCTTAGCGATGTCCATTTTCACTATTTTAAGTGTGTCTTAAAATGTTCAAAAACTGTTTTAAATGCTTGGGATCTTTAGTGCACCTTGTAAAACCTTTGCAAACTTAATTTGGCTTTGTTCTGAGTCTTCGTTAATTTTTGGTGAATTCCCACCCCCATTTGAATGCACTGAACTGTAGGTTTGAGCTATCAAACCTACAGTTCAGTGCATTCCAATGGGGGGGGGGGAATTCACCAAAAATTAACGAAGACTCAGAACAAAGCCAAATTAAGTTTGCAAAGGTTTTACAAGGTGCACTAAAGATCCCAAGCATTTAAAACAGTTTTTGAACATTTTAAGACACTTTAAAATAGCGAAAACGGACCTGTCAAAACCACTGAAATGCACTGAATAGGCTTCAATGCATTCCAATGGGAGAAACATTGTTTCGCTTAGCGATGTTTCCTATGGCGATTTTCACTTAAGGATGGTAATCCGTTCCCATTGGAACGGATTATCCGGTTTTCAATGCATTCCTATGGGAAATGGCGTTTCGCTTAGTGATTTTTTTAACCAATTAACATCGTTAAGCGAGGCACCACTGTAATCAGTTTTCAATGCATTCCTATGGGAAATGGTGCTTTTACTAACGAACATTCTACTTGCAAACACCGTTTCAACACGGATTAAGTTCGTAAGTAGAGGTTCCACTGTAATGCCTTTTAACACCCTGCCCCCACCAGCTTAAAAGTAAACGTCAAACAGAGGAGTGAGAATTTTGCTTCAGTAAAAGAAAATGTAATTCTGGTCAAATTAAATATCTAACACCAAGGTACATTATTTTACTTCAGCATATAATTGCAAAGAAAATACTGACCAAAATAGTGTACTACTGTATATCCTTTGAAAACACTGTACTAAGGTCATGGTTCTGTTGTGGAATTAATAATACAGCACAGAGAGAAATATTCTCAACTTTGGAAAGTTCAGGAAAATGAATCTGCAAAGAATGAACCAAATTTGATATGGCAGCTCCTTTGAAAAAGAATGTGTGAAGCGTCTCTGAAAGTTTGTTCTGTTATGAAATTTGATATCAGTTCACAAGTGTGTGCACGTGTGTAAAATTCCTTGGCAAGTTATTACAATTAGAAAGGAGCACATCCACACAACTGTACCTCACTTCCACAGAAAGTGACATTTATTTCTTTATGGATACACTGAACTGAAGAGTTAATTCTCCTTCTCCTGAACAGTCTTTGTTCCACGTAGTCTGCCAGTACGCCGGGCTGCAATGAGACCAACCTTACGACCCGCTGGAGCATCTCTTCTGATAGTTGAAGGCTTACCAATGTGCTGGTGGTTACCACCACCAAAGGGATGTTCAACAGGCTGTAGAAAGAAGAGCAGAGAGTCAAAAGAAAGCAAGACATTATTTCAAAACAGACAAATTTGCTTTGCAAAATAGAATTGCAAAAGGAAAAGCTGCAATGCAACTGTAGATTGCCTACTATCACAATACCAAGCACACAGTAGTATTCTGGTTTATTAAATTAATGCCTTATACGGGACGTTACATAAAGCGAAAAATTCGTAAACTGGAACGTGGATTGCCATAGGAACAGGGGCAGCATTATGGCAATGCATCTTGGGGAAATGTTCGCAAATGGAAAAAAACGTAAACAGAGGCATTGTTTTCAACAGATTTCCGTTCGTACTCTGAAAATTACATTAACCAAGGCGTTCGTAAATTGAGGTACTACTGTATATTTCAACAGGCCTGATGTGATGATCTTGAACAAATAGCTGAATTGCTGCAATAAAAAACAATATTCTCTTACTTTTAGCTAACAAATTATCTTATTTTAGCTTTGAACCAACTTTAACTTTTATGCTGGTTACTGTGACTCGTGCACTACAAAAATAAAAGGCAGAAATTGAAAAATGCAATTATGGATACATAAAGTACTGACTATGCAATTTCTATCCAAACCAGAACAATACTTGGACGGTACTAAATCCGTTGCCAGCCATTCCAGCTGATCCAATCTGAGGGAGAAGAAAACACGCTATCCAACTACAGCCAGAAATTCCTCTCCTGTCAGCACCATGTTCTCAAGTCAGTATTCTACCTCAGTCCCAATATGAAATGAATAGCTGAACTAGGTTGTTTAACTCTTTCCTTTCATCTCAAAAAAAGTGCATTACAACCTAATGCAGAAAACAACTAAGTGCTTAGCATATCACCTAATAAATAACAAACGTGAATCTGTGTGACACATTTGAGGACTACTTACATTCATGGCCACACCACGGACACGAGGCCAGCAGTTTCTCTTTGCCTTGTATTTGTGGTAAGCCCGCCCAGCCTTCAAGATTGGTTTGTCAATACGGCCACCACCAGCAACGATACCTGAAAGATTTGAGAGTATCTTGTTACTCCATAAATTGTTGCAAAAGGAAGTGCAGAACTATCACAAAAGATAATCAGCTCAGTTAAGCATTCAAAATAATCAGCACTAGATATACTTTACAATGTTTTCTGACTTATAATTTAGTTAATTTCAAAAAGAGTTTAGATTCTTCAGTACAGACACTGTAAAACATTTCTGCTCAGATAAGCATCTACATCATAGACACAGAAGACTACTAAATTCCTGACATTCTGGAATAAACTCAGCGTCCATGAAAAGCAAGCTCTAAATTGACAAAGAAAAATACACAAAATCACAGAATGAAGTTTTTTAAGCACTACTGTTGTAGCAGTACATTCACAAATGTATCTCTTACCATTTCAGCCAATAAAAATGCTACACATAAGGTAAGGGGCCCTACTGAGCATGATAAGTCATAATTTGTAGGGAAGGGTGAACCCCCCCCCCTTTTGAACTAGGTGGAAGCACCTTCCACAAATGCAACTCCATTCATGCAGAATGTCATCAAAATGGAAAAATTTCTCAGAAAATAAACCTTTCCTCCTTCTGTCCTGAAACAAGGCTCCTGTGTAATCAACATTTAGGATTTCAAATAACTGCCGCCCTAAAAATCACCATTATTCAATGAAGACTCCAGTATAAATATACATTATTATACATCTTTTCAGAATGTGACCAGACTAAACACCACCTCCACAACAAATTTTCAGTCTAATAAAAGCTCAAAAACCATTCTCAGTAATAACTACTGTAGTAAATATTTGCTGTACTGCATTTCTGCACAGAGATGTCCATTTGTGTATTCCTCTTTCCTGACCAAGATAAAATGTTCATGCATTAGCTGAATGCTGCAATAAATCTCATGATATTAGATGGGGGGAACACTTTCTTAGCTTATATAGAGTATCTACGCTTTGTAAAAGCCATTAATTTTTTTAATCACCTGGAATCACAAAAACTCTACAATTCAAACTAAGCAAGTACGACACCCTCCTTTTGTAAAATTTCTAATCAAACTTTGGACTCCTGAAGAATTAGACGGACGTTTCAGGCAACACTTACCAACAACTGCTCTGTTAGCAGAGGAGATCACCTTCTTGGATCCAGAAGGCAGCTTCACCCTGGTTTTTTTTGTTTCAGGATTGTGGGAGATGACTGTGGCATAGTTTCCTGAAGCACGGGCTAGTTTACCACGATCACCAGGCTTCTCTTCAAGACAGCACACAATGGTACCCTCTGGCATGGTACCAACAGGCAGCACATTGCCAATGTTGAGCTGAGCTAAAAATGTGTACAGAAGAGGCGGGATTAAAGCAGCCTTGTCAGGCCCATTTTAGATTACATTAAGCATCCTTCAGTTTTGAGACTATGGTAACGTGCTCTGTATGGAGGACCTGGAACAGTGTCTAGTGTGGCTGATAAGGCCAATTTGAGTGTGACAATCCTTTCCATACTTAGGACAAATACAATCTGTACCCCGTCTAGCTCCCTGATTTTGCAGCTTTTGTGACTGCCTCTTTGCCTCCACTATACCTCTCAAAATGTGTACTTCCAGGGTTTTTTAAAAAAAACTATTTCAAAGAAACATCCATAACAGCTCATCTTTACTCACCTTTCTTGCCACAATAAACAAATTGCCCAGTATGAATGCCTTCAGCTGCAATGAACAATTCTGTTCGTTTCTTAAATCTGTATGGATCACGGAAAACAACCTTGGCAAGAGGAGCTCCTCGACCAGGATCATGAATGATATCCTATAAAATATGGCTGCAGTTAAGACTTTGATGATTTAAAATATATAAATAAAAATATTGTGAGCTGTCTTATAGAAATATGATCTTCAATGCCAACTAGATCAAAAGACTACTGACCGCTCTGGATAACATTTATACACACCAAAAACACTACCTCTTTTTCCCATATTTAACAGTCTTGTGGCAATGATTACACACTGAATTATAACATCTGAAAGCACTGAACAGACACATCTTTTTAGGTTTCCTTATTTCAACTAACAGGCTCAGTTATATCCCTAACTGACATGAAATTTACACTTCAGTCTTTATCCCTCAGCATAACTCCCAAGATTCTTCATTTCCATCTCTTTTTAAAGGCTTAAATAGTTTACACATGCTTTTCAGGGTTGCTCTCCTACTTTTACTTACTTTGTACTAAGTAAAATATTATAAACTTCACAGTACCTCCCTACTCCCATTCATGATAGCCTAAGTTACCACCATAATACACTGAACCCCAACATCACCAAAGTATCCCCATAATCGGGTACTTGCCTTTACAATGCCCTTGATGTAGCCATGCCTTTCAGCAAAGTCCACCGCTCTCAGCTTTGCTGCACCCTTTCTGTGCTTCACGTGGGCCCTGAATACAGACCCGGCACCTTTTCTTTGACCTCTGATTACACGACCCATTGTATGCTGTAGCAAAAGATGGGAGAAAATGACTTAGAAATGAAGAATCCCGAAGCCCTCTGGCTGCACAGCTCTAGAGGCCGACAGTTCGATTCCCTACTGTGCCTCCCTGACCGAAGCAGGACTTGATGATCCCTAGGTTTCCTTCAAGCTCTGCATTTCTAAGATCATTGCTAAACACGTCGGAAATGCTTGCTGCTTCAAATTACCTAAAATGTTAAGAACAGAACCAGATCTATCTCCTGTCCACCCTGGTTTAAAAACTAGATGATCTTGCATTAAAACCAAGGGCAATCAACTGTAATATCCAGATCACCATTTAAGTACCGTGAGCGAAATAAGAGACGAATTATGGACAGGAACGTGGTCGAACAGTCACGGATTTACAAAAGGCCACTGCCCTCGAGTGTGTGTGTGCGTCCCTGCTCAAATTTCCAGAGATCACAAGCAGCCACCCACGGCCCTCCTCGCCTCGCCTTCCAGGCTGGTCAATCGTAGACCGCGCTGCTCTTCGAGGCCATATCCAAGCGGCCCACAAGCCACCTGGGCTCTCCGGATCCAGCCCGAGGAAAAGGCCGCCTTCCGAAGCAGCAGCCCGGATCCGCCGGGAAAAGTCGGCAGAGGCGACCGAATACCCCTTGGCGCCCAGAGGCGGCCGGCGGAGAGCCTCGCCGGCCCCGATGAAGAGAGATGCTCCTTTCCCCACCCCCTACCCCTTGACGCCCGGAGGCGGCCGGCGGAGAGCCTCGCCAGCCCCGATGAAGAGGGATGCTCCTTTCCCCACCCCCGCTCGCCCGCCACCTTACCTCGGCCGAGGCCTGATCCGGAAAGAAGGAAGCGGAGGGAAGCGCCGCCAAGTCCTTCCGGCCAGGACGGGAAGCAGGAGGGGCAGCCGCTTCAGGGGCCTGACGGGTAATGAACGCCCGGAGGCGGCCGGCGGAGAGCCTCGCCAGCCCCGATGAAGAGGGATGCTCCTTTCCCCACCCCCGCTCGCCCGCCACCTTACCTCGGCCGAGGCCTGATCCGGAAAGAAGGAAGCGGAGGGAAGCGCCGCCAAGTCCTTCCGGCCAGGACGGGAAGCAGGAGGGGCAGCCGCTTCAGGGGCCTGACGGGTAATGAAGTACTGACATCCGGGAACTTCAGCTCGCCCACGAAGGGAAGTCCTTGTTCTTCCATTCATCGTCTCGGACACGTTGTGCTTTCCTTTAGGGTTAATGCGGGACACTTTCCCCTCCTATCGTTTTTGCAAGAACGATCGTTTCTGCTTTATTACATTGCAGTATAAAAACACATTTCCTGCTTTATTTTTGCTCTCCAAACTGGATTATGGCGGGAGGCATGTTTACACCTGTCCTCCAATACATAAGGGGAATGTGGCTTCATCTGGCTTAGGGAATGCCTGACGCACTGCAGTGTTTTACTAGCGCCCCACTGTAGTTTTCCACAGAAATAAACCGCGCTCAGTTCAGCGGGAGGAACTGTTGAGTCGCGGCCTCCTCGCGAGGCAGCCCCCTTTCCAAATTTCCTGCGCGACGCTCAAGGTCCCCCGCGGTCACACGGAGACCGCTCCCGACGCCCACCCGACCAGGCAGTGCACGTCGTTTTCCTTGGAGCAATAATGGCGTTTGTGTTGGATGCTCGTCATGTCTTTTTTTTTTTCTGCACACACACACACAAACACACACATGTTCCCTGCCTGGCAGAGAGAGCTCTTGATGTTTAACGACTGCGTCACAAGCCCCAGTTGGGCAAATGAAGCTGCGCCCTGGCATGCCGATGCCACGGGGGGTGGGGGGGGAGAAAAAGATTTCGCTGCTGCCTTCTAACGGACGTGAGGCTGCTCAAGGGCATCGACACTTTCCTGGAAGATCAAGTGACAACCCAAGTCGCTTGGATCGATGGAAAACCGGAAGGCGTCCGGCAGATACGAAAACATCCCGAAATTAGCTACACAGTAATGTCTTCTTTCTTGTACACTCGCAAGACAAGAAGCCGCGTTGACGCCCCTCCTTTCAGCACGCGGGACTGCAGTGGTGCCCTTTTTCCTTTTCATGTCTGATGTTACAAAAAAAAAATACAAAATAAATGGCTGTGTTGATCTCGCGGGGAAGAAAGATGGGATCCGTTCTAAAATGCTGCCATTATAAGTAAGACCTTTTGTTGGAGGAACTGTAAAATCAGGAAGCCGTCTCCTGGTTTGCACCACATTCTTATTTGAGATGCGGTGGGGGCCGTCTGAATTATTTCAGACACTGGTGTGTTTTCCAAAAAGAAAAAGAGAGCAGAAAAGAAAAGGCAGTTCCTTCATTGGCTGGAAGGTGGGATATCGACCTACAGTATAATATTTTTCAATTAATGGAAGCAGATCCTCCTTCTCATAGGAGGTTGGATGGAGACACCCCATTCCCCCATTGAGCACTATTGTTATAAAGACATGGCATAGGAGATAGATGGTTTGTGCTTTTGTTTTAAATCTAAAAACACCTGCAGTGAGATGGAATATTGATTGGGACTAACAGCACAGGGAAGAGGAAGTTAATCATTCTGCTCACATTATTTCTCTTATTTAAATAATCCTCCTATGACTGTGGTTTGTATTATTGTTGTTATTTTATTTTATTTTTTGCTACATGAGTGCAAATGTACAGATTTCTCCTGCCAAGCATATAGAATTGCAGAGTTGGAAGTGACCTTGTGGATCATATTGTCCAGATCCTGTCAGGGAGGCACAGTGGGGAATTGAACTCCCAACCTCTGAATCTGCAGTCAGAGACATAGACAACAGAGCTATCCAGCATATACTTGAAGATCAATTTAAAATTTAAATGGAGGAACCTGTGAAAGAGTACATTTTTTTTCTGTTGCAGGAAAAAAAAGGATAAATGCCAGGGGTGGATAGGAGGAGGGATATTAGAAATTAAACTATTGATGAATGAAATACAAAGCTTGTATGCATATAAAATAACTGCTGTTACATGCCATAGAATCACATCAGACTGATGACAACCCTATGAATTAGTGACTTCCAAAAGGTTCTATCATTAACATCCCTACTCAGGTCTTGCAGTAAATGCAGTGACTTCTTTTATTGCATCATTCTATCTCCTACTTGGCCTTCCTCTTTCCCTCTTACAGTCAGCCTTTCACAGCATTATTTTTTGCCAGTGAACCTTGTCTTCTTGTGATATGCTCAAAGTACAATAGCCTCAGTTCAGACATTCCTAGAAAAAATTGGACTTGATTTGATCTTGCATCCACTTATAAGTCTTTCTGGCAATCCATATCTATAAAGCTCCTTTCCAGCACCCCATTTTGAGTAAATAACTTTTCTCCGCTTGTCAGACTTTTTTCACTGTCCGGGTTTCAAATCTGTAAACAGTAATTTTCAATACCGTAGGGAGGATTATCTTGGATGTAAAATAATTACAGTATTGTTATTAAGACAAATTGAAATGCCATACAACTGTGCAAGCTTTCACATTTACCAGGATTTTTGATCACTTTAGAGTTTTAGGGATCTCAGAAGCATGTGCATGTGTAATAATCTGTGTGGCCCTAATAAAGGTATCAGACAATAATGGATTTCCTTAATTTTTTTTCTCATGGCCCAACATGGTTACCTATTCTGTACAAATAATTGCAGTAACTGTTGACAAAACACAGAGGATTCCTAGTGCAGGCCTTGTTTTGTGCTCTGTATAGCACTGGCAGCTGAGAAACATCTTGCCATACATACATGCTGACTACCTGCCTGGTCTGGATTTGGATCAAAAGAAAAGACCATGTGGACATGTGTTTCTACTTAGATTGAGCCATCCTTCACCCTTAAGAGCTGTTGGCCACCTTTCTGGCCCAGTATGCATTCTTTTTGCATGCAATCAGGGGAAGCAGGTGGCTCTGCTCACTACTGGTCCTGGGTGACCCATCCAGGGCTCCTGTCACCAAGGGGCTCCCCTTCCACACAGGCATCTGCCTACTGGAGACAAGCACTGTGCATAATGTGCTGCAAATGTGTGTGTGTGTGAGAGAGAGAGAGAGAGAGAGTGAAAAAGTGACTGAGTGAGTGCCAGTGAACTCAGTGGTGGTGGCAGTGGCAGCACTGAGGGGCTGACCCTTCTGCCTTCTCCTGCATGTCCCACAGCTTCATCCCCCATGCTGTGCCTTCCTGCTCCCTTCCCCCTTTATCTTCCTCTGTTTTCTCCTTTATTTCCCAATTTCTCTTATCTTTTTATTTCCCCTCACATCCAACCATCCTCCTTCTCTTCCAGCAGTTTCACCTGCTGTTTCTTTACTCTTTGCCTTCTTCTAGCTGCGCTTCCACCATCTTTGCTCCTGTCAAAGCTAGCTTCTATTTCCTTCCATATCTGAACACTATCCTCTTTGTTCTCCCTGTCCCGCTTCTTTTTGCCTTAGACCCCCTTTCCTTCCCAGTCCCCCTTTCTCTTTTCTCTTCTCCTCCTTGTTTGCTGTTTCTGCTTCGGCAGCTGAGTGGGCTGCAAGGGGCTGTTTGCTGTTTGGAAACGAGAAGCATGTCAAAGGGCACATTGCTCCTCCACCACCACCACCACCACTTCACCAGACCCTTTGTAGCCTGATCCTCCTAACATCCAAAACAACCAGTCTGGACAGGCCCTGAGATGACTTGGAAGAAACTAAACTAGAGCCTTGCAGTTCCACCCGGAACAGGCCCTGAGATGACTTGGAACAGACTAAACTAGAGCCTTGCAGTTCCACCCGGTGTCAGTTTATGGTACAGTATTGTGAAGTGGCTTAGGAGCCACTTCAAGATATTGGAAATCAAACCCTTGCCTTGATCGTCTGCAGAGCAGCAAGGTTTAGTGAAATTTATTTTTTATTGCATCTGCTAGATGATCACTGATGCAATTAATTGCTTTGATCAGTTTTTTAAATCTTCTTTGCCTGTCTATTGCCAATGAAAACCACAACTGCAGGCAGGTTCTCAATGAACAATGCGCAGAAAGGCAAAGAAAAAAAGTTATTTTAAATGTAATTGAAGTGATTCATCACATCAGCGACAATCTAGTAGTTGTAAAAAGTTAATTTCACTTCTCCTAACCCTCCACAGATGATCAGAGGAAGCATTTAATTGACAGCAGTGTGAGCCAAAGTTTGGACATGCTGTTTGGACACAAGGAGCGTGACAAATGGCATGTGACTCTTTCCCCCACACTCAAACAACACTTTGTAGCCCGGTTCAGCCTGCACCAAAACAGGCCCTCATTTTCCTTGCTGAAGTGTATGCACAAGAAATAGTGTGACTCTCTTGACACCAGATTAATGAAGTAATGTTTGGAGGGTGCGGTCATCCTGCCTGCCCCTCTGACATTCCTGTATTGAAAAATATTTGCCTTTATGGGGAGACTGCTTCCCATCTCATGACCAAGGTGACATTATTAAGCCCATCATATTCCAGCAAGAGGGATTCTATCACAGCTGTGGGTGTTTGTGTATTTCCCATATCTGTGTATTTCGTGGCGGTGTGAGCATTGAAGGGGGAGATGAAGGAATTGCTGGTATCACAATTAGAGGCTTAGTCTCTCCCTCCCTTAACTAGTTGCATGTTGATACAGTGGGGTCTTGACTTGAGAACTTAATCCGTATTGGAAGGCGGTTCTCAAGTCAAAAAGTCTGTAAGTCAACTCTCCATTGACCTACAGTGCATTGAAAACCGATTAATCCTGTAACAGGCCGTTTTTGATCCATTTTGTTTTTTTTCTGGTCTGTAAGTCAAATCTCAGTCTGCAAGTCAAACCTAAATTTTGCGGCCAGAGAAGTCTGTAACTCAAAAAGTCTGTAAGTCAAGCCGTCTGTAAGTCAAGGGTCTGGAGCTGGAGTCCCTTAGAGTTCTAGTTGCTGGGATGAAGTTGCTGTTCCTAACATGTGTCCTGACTTAGGAATTTTCCATACAAATGTTCAGAAAAGCCAGATGTCATTAACCAAGCCTTAAATGCAAGGGGAGACAAATTTGAGATTCCTCCTCAATTGCCCTGTTAAGTTGTTTTGAAGTTCGGGAATTGG